TACTTAAGAATGAATTTGACAGCGACAATGTTTCGAAATTAGGAAGGGAAGCAGTGATTATTTGATTATATAGACGCTTCGCCCCTGGTCATGAGGGTATGGATGTTGTATCCATTTCCGCCCCTGACGTTCCTAAATAATCTTAATTATTTGTTTTGATGGAGTGTAAATCCTCAATCAATGGTGGTTGAGAGTTTTGGGATCACTTATGAAACAAATCACAATTGTCAAAGTGTCTCTCTTTGAAATATAAAACCGAATTTGTGTACAAGGAAAGAAAAGCCTGATTTGATGTTGTCTTTAAAGAAAGTCATGAAATTTAATATGATGGTTCATAAAGAATTATAAAATGGACATTCTCAATGGCACTGTATTAGTGATAGACGTATTGAAAACGTTTAGTTTGGTTAGAAAATATGACTTACGGTTTTAGAGCAAGGGTCCACAGTGTCCGCACTCACGCTTCAGCACGCTTCATCACAAAGTACGTACGTTAACGTAGCGGCTAGCCCGTGTCCACAGCGTCCGCACTCACGCTTCAGCACGCTTCATCACAAAGTACGTACGTTAACGTAGCGGCTAGCCCGTGTCCACAGCGTCCGCACTCACGCTTCAGCACGCTTCATCACAAAGTACGTACGTTAACGTAGCGGCTAGCCCGTGTCCACAGCGTCCTCACACGTACGGTAATTTTTTTTTCGCACCAGACCTAGATCTAGAGAAATGGCGTTAACATGGAAGAAGAATTTTTTTATTGTGGTGGTTGAAGAGGAGGTATATTCAAGGTCACCACCGATTCTGGGTACTTCCCATATTCAAAGAACGAGGCAAAACGGGAGAATTTAGGATGTTGCACCAACTTCTTGATGATAACGAAACATTATGCTTAGCATATTTTCACAAGACGAAGGCAAGCTTTCAAAGCCTTTTGGAATTATGTAGACTCTCTCTCTTGCCCTTTTTAACTCCCAGTGGAGCACAGGCCATCAACAACATTACTCCAGCGAAGCCTGTCCTGAGCATCCTTTTCTATCTGTTTCCATGATGTCCCCGCTTTTTCAATTTCCGCTTGTACCGCTCGCCTCCATGTCATCTTTGGTCTTCCCTTCTTACGCTTTCCTTGTGGGTTCCACGTTAAAGCCTGTCTGATGATGCTTGTCGGGGGTCTCCTCAGAGTGTGTCCAATCCATTTCCATTTCTTCACCTGAATATCTTCCCTTACTGGCCTTTGGCTTGTTCTCTCCCACAGTTGAGCATTCGTGACTCGGTCGTACCACTTGATCCCCACTATCCTTCGTAGGCATCCATTTACGAAGCTCTGCAGTTTTCTTGCTGCTGATGCTGTGAGCCTCCATGTCTCTGAACCAGACAGTAGAACAGTCTTCACGTTTGTTTTGAAGATCCTCAGTTTGGTGTTCAATACCAGTTCCTTAGACATCCATATATTCCTGAGAATGATGAATGCTGCTCTTGCCTTTTGGATTCTGACCTTGATGTCTTCGTCTGTTCCCCCTGCCTTGTTGATGACACTTCCCAGGTAGGTGAAGGATTCAACATCCGCCAATGGTGCCCCATGCAGTGTGATAGGAACGTCGGTGCATTCATTCGTAGAACTTTCGTTTTATACGTGTGAATATGGAGTCCAACACTACGGGAGAAGGTCCTGAGGCGATCTGTTTTCTGCTGCATCTGGGCTCGACTGTGGGAAAGAAGTGCCAAATCGTCGGCAAAGTCCAAGTCTTCCAGCTGACTGGAAAGGGTCCACTGTATGCCACCGCGTTGTCCCGATGTTGTATGTCTCATTATCCAATCCACTGCTAATAAAAAGAGAAAAGGCGATAGCAGGCATCCCTGTCTCACTCCTGTATCCACTTCAAACGAGTCTGTCCGCTGCCCTCCAAGTAAAACACTGCAACTCATTCCTTCATACATCTTCTTGATCAATCTCACAAACTTGTCAGGTATTCCGTAGTGGCGCATGAGCTTCCATATTGAGTCCCTATCTAGGCTGTCAAAAGCTTTCTCGTAGTCGACAAAGTTAACGTACAGGGAAGAGTTCCACTAGGTGGACTGCTCCGCTATTATCCTCAAAGTTGCAATCTGATCTGTACATGATCTCTTTTTACGGAATCCTGCCTGCTCCTCTCTTAGTTTTACATCCACGGCTTCCTTCAGTCTTTCCAGTATGGTACGACTTAAAATTTTCCCCGGAATGGAAAGGAGCATGATTCCTCTGTAGTTTTTACACTCTTGCAGGTCTCCTTTCTCGGGTAGTTTCACGAGCAATCCCTCTCTCCAATCCTGTGGAAATTCTTCGCTGTCCCATATCTTGCCAATAATTCCATGAAGAATCCCTGCCGCAGTGTCGATATCTGCCTTGAGAACTTCTGGGGGAATTCCATCTGGGCCGGCTGCTTTGTCTGCTTTCTGGTGTCTTATCGCCTCCTTGATCTCCTCTAAACTAGGCTTTTCTTCACTTACCCCCAGATCAATCTCTGCTGGTGGAATGTCAAACTGTTTTTCTAGCCTTGGTCTGTTCAGCAGCTCTTTGAAATGCTCCTTTCAGCGCTCTTTCTGTTCGTCTGGATTTGTGAGAAGCTTTCACTCTTTATCCTTCTCTGGCACCTCTGCGTTCTTGTATCTGCCTGCAAGTTTCTTGGTAGTTTCATACAGTCCTCTCATGTTTCCTGCCCCTGCTGCTTCCTCTGCCCCGCGCGCTAGGTCATCTACATAGTTTCTTTTGTCTTTCCTTACGCTGACTTTTACCTCCTTAATTGCTTTGGTGTATTCTTCTTGGGCCTTTGCTTTGGCTGCTCTTGTCTTGCTCCTGTTTACCTGATCCTTTTTCTTTTTCCTTTCTTCTATCTTCCTCAGAGTGGTGGCCGATATCCAAGGCTTGTGCTCACGTTTCCGTTTCCCCAGTACCTCTTGACACCCAGTGGTCCAGCCTTCTTTTGTTGCCTCCCATGTTTCTTCCACGCTGCTATCCTCGCCTAGTGTTTCCAACACTTGGAACCTGTTCTTAACTGCTACATTAAACTCCTCTCTTGATGATGGCTCTCTAAGAAATTCCACGTTGTACCGGTACCTATGATTATTGACAATTCCCTGTCTTCGCTTTAGTTTTAGTTGGATGGTTGAAATGAGCAAATGATGGTCCGAAGCTACGTCTGCACCCCTGTAAACTCTAACATCCCTCATTGATTTCCTGAATTTCTTGTTGACACATATGTGGTCAATCTGGTTTTCAGTTTGTTGGTCTGGTGACACCCATGTTGATTTGTGTGTCTGTTTATGTGGGAAAACAGTCCCTCCTATCATGAGCCCATTCGTTGCACATATTTCTGCAAATAGTTCTCCATTCTCGTTTCTGACTCCAAGTCCGTGTTTCCCCATGATTTCCTCAAAGCCTACATTGTCACTGCCTACCTTAGCGTTGAAGTCTCCCATTAAAATCAAGATGTCCTTCCTTCTAACCTGCTCAATAGTATTTTGTAGCATTTTGTAGAAAGTCTCTTTCACATCCTGGTCCTTATCATTAGTGGGGGCATATCCCTGGATAACATGAAGGTTGATGTCTTTCTTCCGTGAACGGAATTCATCTGATATTAGTCGCGGGCCCTCTGCTTTCCATCCTATCAAAGCCCGCTTGGCGTGTGTTGATAACAGAATACCTACTCCTTCTGTATGCGGCGAGTTTTCCTCCAGATGTCCAGAGTAGAGAACTGTTTCCCCTGAAGCAAGTTGGCACTCCTCTGCATTCGTCCATCTCGTTTCACAGAGACCCAATATGTCCAGTTGGTAGCCCTCCATCTCTCTTGCAACCTGCAGTGCCTTCACTGCCTCGTACATTGTACGAACATTCCAGGTGCCAAGTCTGGTGGTTTTTCTGGTCGACAGGAGGTTCCTCGGCTTGGTGGCTTCCTTCCGGCTTTCACCACATTGCGTCATTCTACACTCCATATTCTCTCTATTCTCTCCTCTCCTCGGTGATGAAGGTCCTCCATCTTCCAGAACTGGCGGTCGTGTTGTTTTTGCTGTTGATGTTTTTGTAGCTGCTTTTTGTTTTATGGGAAAGGGCTGCTAACCCTTTGCCCAACCGACCTTAGTCGCCTTCTACGACATGCGCGGTACGGATACAGTGGTCCTATTCTTTGCTCAAAAACAGAATACGAACTGAAGGAAGGCCATTTCCCCAATTGAAAGGCTGATAACTGATGTAAGATGTTGCTGCTGCTACTGTTGCTGCTTGCTGCTTCTGTTGTTGTTGTTGTTGTTATTGTTGTTGTTGTTGTATTTGTTGTTTTTCTTCTTCTTCGTCTTCTTCTTCTTCTTCTTCTTCTTCTTCTTCTTCTTCTTCTTCTTCTTCTTCGCTGTTGTCATTGTAGTATGGCCTAAGTAAATGGTCTATACTGTATCCGTCATTTAAGTAAGAGCCCACTCTGTGCCTCCAAAAGAGCGTGTTCTTTTCAGGCACGTTTGTTTACTTTGAAAAATGGGAGCAGAAATAAACAAATATAAAAACGACTATTGAAATTTAGAAAAACAAATTCAATAATTAACAACGATGTAAACTTTATAGACTATTCCTCAAATCAACACGTCAAACGAAAAACAAAACAACCCCCCCCCCCCCCCAAATCACAGTGTGGAGACTGAGATCAAAGTCAAGTGGCATTAATTTAATTGTAAAGGTAAAACTAACTTTCTTCTAAAAGGTAACCAAAACGTACAGTACGTACGGAAAATGTTTGACAAGCTTGACGTCTTACGTTTTTCACGAAAGCGTGAGGAAGCGTGTCGTCCGCACTGGGCCCAGGTAATATAGAAATAAAAGGTTGAACGGTTCCATACGCACTTTGTGAGTACGTAAGCGTACGAAAGTGGAGTATGTGAACCTTAGCCCTTAGACAATTTACTAGAACGCTTTAGAATTTCAAATTCATCTCTTGCGTTTTTTGTTTGAAATTACGGAACATCAAGCTACGAGAAAAACCATAGCAACTATGTTTAAACAGTTCAACAGTCTGGCAAGTCGGCACACACAATACATATATAACATAGTCGTGACCGAAACTTCCGTCAGAAGGCTGCGTGCATGTAGTTTGTGACACCCAAGAACATCAATATCTTCCTTCGTCATGTTCCTAGGTTACAAGCCCCCCCCCCCTCCCCTTCTTTTTTACGTAGGTTGCGTACCATCTGCTCTTCGCTTTAAAAGGTTGACACATGCGAATTTTACGTATTTGAACAGATGTACTTTTGCTGATATCCTGATTCCAAAATGAACTCTCGGGTTAAAAGGTATGTTTTTAAAAAGTTCTGTAAGCTTTTTAGAAGTTTCGTCGCTTTCGGATTTATTCATAAGGTCCTGTTAATCTATGGATATACGCTATATAAAGAACTAAGTTTAAAAGATTTTCAGGTGACATTGCCCTTTTATTTGGGAAACTTTTCTTTTCCTAAGAAATATTTAAAATATTTATCTTATCATTGTAGGCCCTAAGGGCAAATCGTTAAACAGAATTACAAATTTCTATCTGCTCAGTACCTAGTTTTGAGAATTTTGACGTCGAAGATTTGTCTTTCCCACCATGTCAAGCTTTTTGGAATGGAATTCTTTGAATCTTGATTACGACTCCGAACTACCTTACTATTTTGATTGAACTGAGGGAACACTTGCTTTCTCACCTCACGGTCTTAGTAACCCAAAACGGTCAAAAATGTCAGATAGATGTTGCAAAATATTAGAATCTCTAGTGGAGAATGTATATGCCTATTCTTTTCATAATATTTATGTATCTTACCAGGTACTCATAGACTTGCTACTTTTTATTTCTGAATACTTTGACGATTAATACAGTTTGGCCTTCCCAAAATTATAGCACACACTTCGTTCAGTTGACATCATATTGAATTACGATGAGATCAATCCTAGTTTCAATAGACAATGGTGGTCTAGGGGCATGGGAGGGGGGGGGGGGGCGGCAGGTATGTTCTCGAACTTGGGTTAAGTCATTGTTCTCAACTCAGTTGGCGTGGTTAGGTAGGAGTTGGACAATTCACCCTCTTCGATAACTTCATGGACTGCCCAGATCGGATGAAGAGTAGAATTGCAATCACGTAGTGAAAGTAACTGAGGTTAAGAAATGAATCTACCGGCCGCCGTAGGCTGATAGACTACGTTTTCCGCCAAATTGTAAAGTTTCGAAGTGGGTGTGCTAGTTGAGGTCCGGCTTTGTACCGTCCCTAATGGAAAAAAATCCACGCTAAGTGTTTGGTTGATGAATAGTTATTGTAAATTGTGTTACCCAGTAAAACATAGGATGAGCTATTTAGAGGCCGGCTGCTTCGATCCTCCCTGTCGGGGCCATCCCATCGTGAGTGGGATTGACTTCTCATAATTTATCTCATAACAAAACAAACTTTTTGTAAAGATCAAAGTGTATTCAAAATATTTCTTATTTCCGAGCCCGTTGTTATTATATATACTTGATCGAGGGTGAACAGATAGATCCCTATGGGTATTATGTTGGATTACGCAGCTAAAGACCGTGATTCATTTCCCCAACGTGGGTTTCTTGAACTTAGATTGTTTCATGGCTTTCCACCCATCTGACTCCGTCCTTTTGAATTGTGGGTCCCGCCTTTAACGTAATTTACCAAGTTTTAAAAAAGGCAGCCCCGGTACACCCATAACACACTATAAGATACGTGCTTAATACATCAACACCTCTGCACCCCCCCCCGACCCAGAAAACAATATTATGGTCATATAAATATGGTCTGATCCCCAGTGTACTTGACGGTTTTCCGGGCGCGTGCAACTCTTCTGTGAAGCTGATGTCAAAACGCAAATAAGGTACTGCCTTAGAACTTCTTTTGACGATTGCCTTTCTAGAAAAGTACGAGGGGAGAATGCTAAAGACGCAGTTTCCAAATTATGTTTCGATAATTGTTCTGCTGTTTTATCTGAATTTATTCGCACTGTGTCTGTTTGAACACTAGTGTGCATGGTCATAAAGAAGAAAAGTTGGGTTCTCCTGTAACATTTACCACTATACAGGTTCATTTGTTGTCTATGTAAAACGCCCGCGCGGTAAAAGTATATTTACGATCCTCATCCCTCTCCCGTTCTGAATTCTAGGTAAAAAGCGTCTTCGGGCTCGACGTCACAACGGCCAAAATGAGACCCCAGTTAAGGGTAGACCTCAGATGTATATGCTATGATCTAGGTTAAATGAATTTTAAATGGATGGCTAAAGCCTACTTTTACCTCTACAGCAACCTCTTATCCGGACAGGGCTGGATGGTGAAAGAGAAAAAGAAGAAACAACAATCGCCGAGACAACGAAATGCCGTTGGGTCGACTCGCAGATAGAAAAGAAAATTGCAATTAAAGGAGATTTATCTGAAACCAGAAGAGTACATTTCTTGAGTGATTAATTTTTGGTGTTATTTACAGATTAATTTTTAAAAAAGCAATCTCAGGTAGAAATGCGTACAGCTGTAAAAAAGAATGTGGACACTTTCTGGTTCTAAAGATAAGAACTATAATTTGTTGATTTTATTGTCTGAATAATATGTCTTATTAAGGATAGCAGGAACAGTGACGTGGTAGCCCTCATGATTATTTCTGAAAGCTAAAAAACGGTTGAGTGTATTAATGTGTGCCAGTATTTTAAAAACATTTTTTCTCTTTTGAAAATCAGTCTAGAGACGCATACTCATTGTCATGCGCAGACGGAATAAAAAGCAAGATCGGGAGGCGAACCTGTATAATATATATGACAACCTTTGCCAGTTCGGGTATTTTCCGGGGCAAAACGACTCTTACCGAGTGTGCTTACCTCTGCTCGAAATGACCTCAACGTCCGAGGGAAAGAAGGAGCAGCAAAAATTCGCGTTGGCCAAACGCACTTGCGTGAGGTCCAGGTCGTACCCACAAGGACATGGTGAACTTGACAGAAAAGAGGAAAATACACCGATTATACCATACTGGAAAGTTAAGCGACGCCTCCACGCAGTGTTTAAGCAACATCGAAGTTTTGATTCGTTATTGCCTGACGAGTTCCGCATTGTCCACCTCAAGGCGGATGGAATAAATCAACATACTGAGACTTCCATTATCCCGGCCAAGTACCTGGAGAGTAGTCTTTGCTTTCCAAATTCTATGGTGAGCAAGAACAAATTAGACGACACTACCCAGTGGGAAAGTGACAGTTACGACCCTGCCCCTAGTCCTTTTCAACAGTTACAGCAAGTCTTCTCCAGTGACTGGGCGTTTGCTTCAGCACCACGGAGAGTACTGAAAACGAATATCCCCTTTGCCAAGAGAACATCTTGCGAAGTGTTGTTTGGAGGAGGGGTTTTGAATAGTTCAAATAAAGAAATTGTTTCCCCTTTTAACAAAAGTGTAAACATTCAAGATCATGTAACAAAAGCTCTAGAGCCTAATACAAGAACGGTTAGCAATCAGTCATCATTTGCAACTCAAGTCAAGGTGAAAGTACCACAAAAAGGTGTCCCAGAAAAAGTCAGGATTAAAACCAAATGTGTGGAAGGTCGGCTTGAAAAAGAGAACTCGCCACAAACGGCTTCTGCAACCTGTAAAAAAAACTTTAAACAAGCAGTCACCCTTTTTGCTCTGCCTAATGCATTAGTAAAAAACGAGGACTCAGTGGAAAAAAGAAGAGAATACACCTCAGCATCAGTGTTGGAGCTGCAAAAAGCTGATGACAGTAAAACGCTCGTGGAATCAAACAATGCATCTCTACGCGGGGTAAAGGTATGCCATTTGTCTTCACATATTGGCAAGATGCAACTCAAGCATGGATCAGCAAGAATTAGAAACCAGAGAAAAATATTTTCTGAATCGGGAAAATCTTTCTCACTGGAATCAACGACAGCCTCAAAGATTGTCAAGTCGAAAACACCGACCCTGCGTCGTAGTCATAGCACAGACAATAAACAGCACCACGTACTCCCGCAGTTCCAAGCATCTCTTCTTCTGGACGGAAACTATTTAATGGCGTCAGATGAAGAATTGACTCCCAGGGATGAAAGAAATTTTGGGCTGTGCATTTATGACCCAGTGGACATTTCTTTGTGTTCCCAGCTGCCAGGTACTTCAGGCATGAAAAAATCATTTGGCTCCGACACACCGAGCCAGCATACAAGACCTGTACCAAAAGGTTTGCAAAGACAAAACAGTATTTCATATCCTGACTTAAAAGCAGATCTAAATGATCTTGGGAAAAACTGTCTTTGGATGAACTCGAATGATGGCCAAAGCAAAGAGATTGCTCACGGCGTAGTGGTAGAATCTTCAGCACCATTATCGAATACTGCTTCCATCCAAGGAAACAGACGGGAGACCCTGCCGCTAAAAAGGCTGCATTCCGGATCAGATTTAAATGAGCGAGCGAAGAAGAGGCTTGAGGCAATGAAAGAAAAAGAACGTATACGGTGCCAGTCCTTGGTGATTACGAACACACCTAACTGCAGAGCCTTCAACGTTTGCACAGAGGTGTCTGAAAACATAAATAATTTTAGCCCAAGTGACAATATTGGGTACGTCTCTGAGTCGCAGTCGCACGATGAGCATGAAACTGTACAGGCCGCTGCTATAACTCTACAAGTCAAAAAGCCATTCAAATCACAGTCAGACATTCCTGAAATTTCTGCTCAAGTGAGAGCACTTCACAGGTCTCTGTCTGTTAACAAAGCACTAAGTACATATGGTGATGAAGCCAGTACGCAGCTGACATATAATTCTTCGCTTCTAGCTCGGGGTCAGTCTGAGAAAGGAGTCCGTCAACTTTGGCAAGGACAGCTATTGTCCGAAGGTGTCATCCACACGGCGAGACACTTTAGGCCATCAAAGGAAAAATGCTTCATAACAGCGCACAGTATAAACAAGGCGCTGGATTGGGGTAAAACGTCCTCTGGGGTGAGGGAAAATGCCGACAAAAATAAGAGTGACAACAGTATTATAACGAATTGTATGAACACACATTCAGTTATTACATGTCAAGGCACAGGTGTCAGCACTCAAAAGATGAATCTCGTGACCCTGAGCTTAACTATTGTTAAGATAAAGTCATGGAAAAGAAAATGTCGGGAACGAATACATGCACAAAGCGAGGACACGCTTTGTTGTGATCTCTCCGAGACTGATGACAAAGAACAGTATTCAGTTCATGCAGTTGACAGCAGTAAGGGATTAGAGTATAGCCAAGATCAGGCTGGATCTTCTGCATCTGAAAATGAAAACAGCCTGCTCTTGAGCAGCTGCCACGTTGGAATGTCACGGAAAAAAATAAACGCAGTCTCTTACAAAAATTCTGACAAAGAAATGATTAAAATGATATGTTCCAAACCTTACGATAGGACAAAGAGCAGCGTGTACACAGTGTGGAGGACCTACAGTATCATTCGGAGGTGGTCAGCCCGAGCACAGAAGTCGCACGTGACGAGAACGGAGACAGTATGTGAAACACATTCTGTGACTCATGCCTCGCTTCCTGGTCCAAGGATAGACGGAAGAACAGATGACAACTTTACTGACGTACATACACGAGATATTTTTTCCAACAACATTTGCAGAGACGATCCCCGGGGTCGTCAAAATTTAGACTCAACGGTCTCTCAACACTGCAGTGGTGACATAATTGATAGCAAAATAATTATCCCAGCTATGGAGATCTTTCAAAAGAGCACAAATGGCAGAGAATTTGGTAACATTGTAAATGCTCCCGAAAATGCAGAACGTATGGACCAGGTAGTAGAATCATCTAGCATTATAACAACAGTGCTAACACACACTAACAATGACGACGCTGATATGATCGGACAGGTTACAGGGACTTCTGAAGTAGTTAAAACAGTGTCCTCACAACTAATCGATGTTGACAAAGATGACGGAGTAGACTTTGTCGATAACAACCTATGTGTTAGTCCTAGTCACACTTCACCTGAGACCGCAAAACCGTGGAGTGAGCCTGATCTACAATCACAGCTTCTCAATGATACATTCGACGTTCGCTCAAAGTCGTGTCGATCTTCTCAAGGAAGTACCCTTAGTAAAAAAATGATAGATGTATCCCCAGTTGAAGACGAGGTTTTCTTTAGCTCCACTGTCTCTCTTCCTCTACCAGCATCCCCAGTCGTGAAAAACCCTTCAGCATGGCACAGCTTACAGCAAGCACAGCACTCATACCAGCACACGGCTCACGATGATAAACAGCAAGACGCCAAAGAAAAATTTTCCAGTGGGAACTGCCATCTCTGGGAAGTACAAACGGCTGAATTTTCAAAATTTGAAGGTGGAAATTCAGGTCAGTCTTATGCCTTAGAGTTTGGAGGTAGTCTACCTTGTGCCACGGACATAAATACAGCATCAGATATAGTGGACAATGTAGATGAGAAAACGGAAACATCAGTAAATGTCTTGGTTTCTGGAGTTGAAAGTGGAGCTTGTCATGAAGAACAACTTTGGAACGAGAAACGATGTTCTGTGTTGACCCAGGCAGATGAGCAAACACAAGTTAAGTGGAATACTTTTTCAACTGTAACTGACAGCAGACAAGTAGATCACTCAAACAGCAACTTTGAGGAGCATTCTCTGCATCCAAACGAAGAAGATGTACACAGCCAAAGCCTCGCGTACGCGCTTTATAAAAAGGATGGCCAAGATGACAAGCACATGTCCTTGTCAAATGAACAGTTTCCAGACTGCAGTATCTTTTTAACTGATACAGAAAAAATGTGTCCCTTAACGCTTTCGCCACTTGGCCACTCACTAACATCCGCAACGGCTAATGATCTTGATATCCATCCGAATGTCACGGTACGAAGTTCCTCCGTAAGCAGCTGTGATGTAGAGTTACTGGATGCTGGTAGAGGACACTTGAGTTCCACAGACTTTCTAGACGAAATGAGCGATACACTTGGCAGGAGCAGCAAAGATGAGGATGCTCAAGATATTGATACATTATCAGCCTCAGGTACGCTTAAAAGACAACGTTCTCCCTCCCTTCTTGCCATGTTCTCCACTGACAGTCTCTTTTCGAGAGTGTCAGATGGCAGCTCAGAACGAAAATCAGCAAAAAGAGAAACCAGTTTGAAGGGTAGCGGGCCACGAAAATCAAGGTCATATGGCCGTTTTCTCGAAGAAGATGAGGACGATGGCATGAAGGAATTACGAACTAAGACTAGGCACAGCAAATTAAAACTATCCCAGAGCAGTTTATTGGAAGAAAGAGGTCGCGGGTTAGATCTTGAAGATATATCAGAGAACACGTTTGGGCCATGCCGTGGTATGGATCATTTCCAGAAGCCGAAAGGCTGTGAAGATTTAGTATCGCTAGAGAATAAGACCCTTCTTAGTGCTAGGGTTAGGTCTGCTCGAGACTCACTCAAGGTTAGCCCTCCTCCTTGCGGGGGCAGTTGGCAGCGAGGGCCAACAGCAGATGTCCAGAACACTGCAGAACCCTCAGACTTGATCCCAAAGAACACAAAGAAACAGGTAAGCTACGGATAATGTGTTGTTTTTTAGTTGAGCTGTTATATTGCTTATGGCAAGTCAGTGGTGCGTTTTTGGGGTGAGTGGTATATTGATTTAATCATGGTCAGGCAGATCGGGTTGTACCTCCACTCCTACATCTGTTATTCTGCACCTGACAAGATGGTTGATTTGCGTGTTTCTTGAAACATTCAACTCAGGGTGATCCAACCCCACCCCCCCCCCAACAACTTTACAATTGTTTTTGGTAAATATTTTCCTCCACACTGGCGCTTTGTGTTTCAAATTTGAACGCAATATTTGGCAACCAAAAGGAATTTGTCAAATATTCATTTTAGATAGTTCCACAGAATGGTTTTGCTCTGAATAACGCAAAAGGAAAAAAACCAATTTTTGCCATGTCCCCATTTTTGAAGCATGACGCATCAGTTCGCATTAGTTTTACAACTAAAAGTCGCAAGGATAGCACCATATTGCAAGCTACAGCAGTTTAACAAGTCAACAGAAGTTGTGCAGATATTATTTCTGAAGTTTCCTTTCTCTGCTGAGATCACAGTTAAGTAAAGTAAAGAACAGAGAGTTTTCTTGTATTGAGATTTACCTCACCTCTACCTCATCATCCCCGACATTTCGTAAGTCTCACACAAGGTGCGGAAAGAAAACCAAAGTGCCCTTAAGGCCTTTGACTTTGCTGTCATGGGTAGAGATGTTCCGTCAGTTTAAATCTATAGAGAGAATCAAAATTTAAAATTCCAGGACAAAATGACCACTTCAGGTCGAGAACGCACCGTTCGCACCCCTTTTAAATGTCACCAGGATACAGAATTCAACAGTTGAGTCCCAAATGAGATGTCTGTCCACACATTCTCTTACTCATTAACGGTCCACTTTCTCAGGTAGATCTTCGCCTATGACAATACAAGTATCATTTTCATGTTCGTGAGGTTGACACAGGTGCGAAGGCTGACTTGTTTGACAGGGTAATCAAAGTGAAACGGGACCAGATATAGATCTATATGGCCTGTAGATATCACACAAGAATCTTACTCGAGGCGGCAACTCTGACTGAGTTGTAAATGAAAACAAATCCGGAATTCATATTGTATGTTCAACCGCCAAAATAATCGGGAAAGTATCTTATTAAATATCAGTTCCACTAAATTTAAATTAACTTTAGATGTGAATACATAAACACAAAGCAAAGAAGCAGAGATTTCAGTACTAGATCTATATGTTATAGATCTACCAGAGAGTCTAACTCTTTGGTAGAACATGACAATTATCATTTTTTAAATTTCACATTTGGCTGTTTTTGTTAGCCTTTCGCGGCCAGGAGCTGGTGTCATAACCGAGGTCACGATCTGATTATAGGACAGTAAAAGGTCGAGGAAAAAAAACAAGCACATGCAGCAGTAAAGAGATTGTTAGGAGTTAGTTCCCCTCACATTTGTGAGATAGACTCGACCAGTGTTCGTTAGCTTACTTAATCAGGGATTGGGATTGATTATAACTGTGGCCCCAAAGGGGTGAACAGGGTATATGTGGCAATGAAACAGCCATGACTGCTATGCACATGTTCCCTCAACTGTATTGGTAGACTCTTCCAGCCTCACTTTAAGCTTACTTAATCAATGCTTGCGACTGCTTATGGAGTGGCCCGAGAGGGGTGAGGAGGCTATTTATGTGGCCGTGAAACCGTTTTGAATGTTAGGCATACTCATTGTGGATTACGAACCTCTTTTTACTTTTAATTTAAGAGGTTTACGATTAAGGATGAATTTGACAGCGACAATGTTTCAAAATTAGGAAGGGAAGCAGTGGTTATTTGATTATATAGACGCTTCGCCCCTGGGTTGACATGGATCAGATGATGGCAATGTGTTCATGGTTCCTCGGTCGCCTTGGAAAGCGTAACCATTTCCTCAATGGCATTTGGTTCAGTGCAAAGTCCATTTCCGCATTTCAGGATAATAATATGTAAACTCCACAAATGTTGTCTATTGGGCACCCCACCCACCCCCTATCATATCTAAAAGACACTTCTTAATGAAAAGTTTACAGTGTGTGCGGTTTAAGCATTCATGGTTTGTCATGTCCTTATGCTTGGCCACCACGAATGACGCGTCAAAAATGTTTCAAATACAAAGGAGGACATGTAGAGCTCTGGCTCTAAGACTTCTAGAATAACAATGTTAGCTTTTTAAATCTATTAGAGAAAGTAAATATTGTTTAAATGTTACAGGGATAAAAAAAATTAAATGTTAAAAAGAAAAGGAAGAAAATAAGCCAACCAGTGGTTCACGACCTTCCTTAAAAGAATTATAATTCGTGCATTTTGCGTTTATAGGTGTTTTTTCTTTAAAGCCGTTTTTGTTTTCAACAAAAAGTTTTATCTTTATGAATTTTATGTCAAACAAATTCCTTTCGGGTGAATAATGTCTGTTCCAAATCACAATATTCTAGAACAATTTTTGTACGAGATATGCAGGGGAAAAAGTTGTAAAGTTTAAAAAAAATTTACTATCCTGTACTCGTAATTCAAACAGATCAAAACCAAAGAAACGTTAAAGAGAAGAAGAAAAAATATATAGATTAGCTTGTTGCCTCTCAAGCCGGTTGATTACCCGTAAATATTTTTACTCCCCATTGGTATACTATAAAATATTAATGATTTAGGAAGTGGACATTCTTGACCATGTCTGTCAGGTCCGACCTGGGCTGAGTGGGGAAAGGAATAGTGACAGACAGACGGAGATTCTCGAAACAGTAACTTCTCCACTTGGGACTCGAACTAACGTCGCCTGTGAGCAACGACAAAGCACCACTAGCCGTTATTGTTATTGTTATTCTTTTTCGTACTACCATCATAATTATTATTATTATTATTATTATTATTATTATTATTATTATTATTATTATTATTATTATTATTATTATTATTATTATTATTATTATTATTATTATTCCTATTATTATTATTCATAATTTTTAAAAATTATTATTATTCATATTATGATTCATATTATTATATGTTGTATCAGTAGTAGTAGTAGTAGTAGTAGTAGTAGTAGTAGTAGTAGTAGTAGTAGTAGTAGTAGTAGTAGTAGTAGTAGTAGTAGTAGTAGTAGTAGTAGTAGCAGCAGCAGTAGTAGTAGTAGTAGTAGTAGTAGTAGTAGTAGTAGTAGTAGTAGTAGTAGTAGTAGTAGTAGCAGTAGTAGTAATAATTTTTTAAAAAATCTCTCACTTATATTCTCTCAATTTATTTTTTTTTGCTGTATAAACTAAAAGTCATGTTTTGAACTTGTGGAGTTCAATTGATTTATTTCTTAGTTATTATATTTATTATAATTATCCTTAGTGTTATAATTATCATTATTATAAATAGTACTACTACTAGTAATAGTGACAATTTTGTGATGTTTTATAAAAAGAAGTTGTTACAGTCCCCTAGCGCTACCCACTTGCAGTCCCTAGCCCTGGGGGACTGCAAAGAAACACACACACACACACGCCACGCAGTCAACCATGAAACCAACATCACGCTCAGAAAACTACCGTGTTATAAAGACTACCGTTGTGGTTTTGGCTTAAACGTTCTTGCCATATCCACTACCGTAGTAATTTTTGCACATGCTGTAAACACTACCCTAGTGACTTTGGCGTAGGCCAAGAACACTACATGTATCTAAACTAAAAACACTACCACATACATACCAGATTGACTACCCACGCCAAAAACACTATCATCATTCTTCGTCAATAAACACTGCTGCGGTTGTTTTCCTGATTTAGACATTATGCTCTAAACACTATCCCAGTATTTTTAAGACCAGCAGATCTACCTTGGGCTATTATAACTAAGAGATGGCACCTGAAATGAGGGTTTAGCTTCAAATTTTTATTATTCTTTAGTTAGTTTAGCCACTATTGCGTCATTTTACAAAGTATTAAGCCTCAAATGGAATATGTTTCGTCTAAAATGCTTTTGAAAGGTAGCAATATACTACTTCTGAGAACAAAGTTTGAATTAACATTGCATTTTCCTCGAAAACATATTTTTCAATTAGTCCTTGAAAAATTTGTAAAGCGTTAGATCTTTTCTTCTTTTTTTTTTACTTACAAACATCAATAACTTTACTTAGAAATAAAAAAAAGTATGTGATATCTTGCTTATCTTTATTTGAACCACATCTCTGACAAGTTTCTTTTAAATTTAAATCCATTCATAAACTTATGACTTTTAGCAAAAACTGCACAGAAAAATAATAAATCATATTATGATTTCGAGGAAAATGCAATTTTAATTCAAAATTTGTTCTCAGAATAGAAGTAGTAAATCGCTACCTTTCAAAAGCATTTTAGACGAAATATTCTATTCTATTTGAGGAATAATGCTTGATAAAATGACGCAATAGTGGCTAAACTAAAGAATAATAAAAATTTGAAGCTAAACCCTCATTTCAGGTGCCATCTCATAGTTATAATAGCTCAAAGTAGATCAACTGGTCTAAAAAATACTGGGATAGTGTTTAAAGCATTATGTCTAAGTCACGAAAACAACCGCAGAAGTGATTATTGACGAAGAATGATGATAGTGTTTTTAGCTTAGAAATAGTGTTCATTTCGTTCGCCAAAGTCACTAGGGTAGTGTTTACAGCATGCGCAAAAATTACTACGGTAGTGGTTATGGCATGAAAGCAAAACCACAACGGTAGTCTTTATTGCATGGTAGTTTCCCGAGCGTGTTACACCGGCAAAGCGGGTTCGCCACGGCGCGGGAATAAAGCCAAAAGAAGTAAAGCAATACCTTGGAAGTAGAGAATGTTTGGTAATATTACGTGTAATACTAGGCCTACAGCTGGCATTCCATATGCCCGAAAAACCGATGCAAACTTCGGGTTCGGGTGCGATGAAAAAAGAGCCCCCCTTCCATATACCCGAAATTCATATCCGTAATTTCTGACTGAAATCACGGCACCAGTTCAGTCAGAGCAAGCACTCTACGTTGAAAACGAGAGAATTTTCC